CGAAATTTCCTTAATCTATATTTTCTCAATCCATAATTTTCTAAGACTATTATTTAGATACTTATAATTTCTACAAATTAAATTTACATGCAAGTACATTCCGTTCTCAAATCTTTCTTCTAATAATCCTGCTGCTATCTCGTTCCTGTAGGCCTTTGATTCGAATCGTACTGTGAACCTTATTTCTTTTCGCATTCAGTCACTACGTCACTAACTATTCGTTAGTACACAGAATTTGCGTGAATAAACGTGTTCATTTTTGCCTGTTGTACCGCGTACTTATCACAATGTAAAAGGAATTCACGAATTAAGTTGTTCATTGATCTGTACTTTTCACTTAACAACCAAGCAGAATAATTGTCAGAGAAGAAAATTAAACAATATGTAAATGTCTCCCAAAACAAGTTGAATGGAAGAAACTGAAGTGGTCGATAACGATAAATTTAACCCAAGACGGGAATAATGGATGTGACAAACAAAGAACTACTTCCGAATGCTTGAATTAGTTTTAAATGAAGGTAAACAGTGATAAAATGATTTTTAAGATGTTAAAATCAGAATGGGAATAGTCAGACAGCTAACTTCAGTAATTATATCATTGATACTAAATAATCTAAATGTTAATCATTTGAATAACCTAACAGTTTTTATGTAACAACATCGAAAATAATAGTATAAAAACGGATGCTTTAAAACAGCATGAATATTTTTAAAATGAACTTTATATGCTCGGCTTTGTTTGCAACTGGAAACAGCTGCAAAGGATTAACCAGGACAGTGTTGGATGTAGAATACTGGTGGGCGGCCTATACTCCTCCATGAGGAGTAACAGGCGTAAGTAAGTATGTTGTTTGCATGTGAGTTTATCAGAGAAGACAAATGAAGTAACCAGTGATTTAACCAGTGGGTCTTCCTTTAATAAATCCATTCCAAACCATAGTTCAGCATAAACCTCTGACTGACTCATTTTACTTACACGTAAACTATACATTTTTCGCTGCTAATGAGAATGTTGACCTTTATTTCATGTAGTAAGAATAAGAAAATAAGATGGAAGTAATCATTATAGTACGAAATTCTCCATATCATTAGATTACTTCGTCACGTGGTTAATCAACGCCCAAACTGCATGAAGACCAAGGTTTCTTAAGGACACTTATCTGTTCAATTAAAAAGAAATCATAGTTTTCACTATTATTAAATATATTTTAACTGAAGAAAAGTTGAAATTCGTTGCTCATAGCTCAGCTTTTAAACAAGAGTGTTTATCTGTATTTGCAGTAGCCATCTTTGCGGAAATGTGAGTTTTCTAACCCTATCAAATGAACATTTATGTTTTATTATCTATACTCAAAACATCAGTTTCATGAATTCGTTCCTTAATAGTGATTCAATTATTAATAATTTTCACACAATATGATCACTTACACTATTATAAACATCATGGTTACTGGTATTTTTCCAAATTCTCAAATATTACTTGGTAAAAAAAATAATGATACTACAGTTGTCCAGTATCACTTTGTCATAGTCGTTATGGTTTTTTCCAGTTTGTTATTCTACTAAATCAAACGTGAATACAATAAAAAAAGATCGAATTGTCGAATCCGTAAATGTTACCCATGTTTTGTAACGGAGTTTTGTTTTTTGTAAATTTATCTTTCATGTTCAACTCAAAAGTTGGATATGTTCAATTTTGTTATCTTCATAATTTTTTAAACAACAGATAAAACTCGCTTACTACAATTCAATATGTTTTTATATACATGTTTCCGGTATTCTGTGAGCTTTTGTTACTAATGTCCTTTGAAACTAAATGTCGAAACACGAAATCCGGAAATCTCGCAACTTATTAATCGCATCAAAAAATGTTTCTTATTTTGCTATTAAAGTAACTCTGCAGTTGTTTCGGACACCAAAAGCATCACAAACTTGACATGAACTTATTGGTAAGACACTTAGATTTATGTTTGCCTTGCATGGGGAGGGGCCGAAAAAAATATTATATATACGGCAGATTAAGACGCTTACTATCACTAAGGTACTAGTTCATGACCAGTTGGTAATTTGTAATAGATAAACTTTAGTAACCTGAGAAAGGTAGTTATTTGCTAAAGTATTTAAGCACGAGAAAATAACTACTTCTTAGAAACTTCTTTTCAAATAGTTTACATTGAGTTATATTACGTTATGTTCAGTAAGCACAGTCATGCCATCAAATTGGTTCTAATGAATATTTCACTAAAAAATCTAACTGTTCCGACGTTATATCTGTCTTAAAGCGACCTTTTATGTCATAATCGCTGCTAGTTTTGTATGCATTAACTTTTGGAAAGTGTATTTGTCAAATAAATATCAACTTTACAATATCGCATGTATACACTGATGAAGGCCAATAAGAAATGATGGTGAAGTTTCATGTTTTGAAGCACGAATACTCTGGCGAATGCTAATTTCAGTCTTGGTTAAATAGTATTTCAGTGGTCAAGCAAAAATAAAATAATACGCAATAATATAGGAGTCTGAAGTTAAACCAGGTTTATCAGACGTAGTCTTTAGAATTTCTACCTCTCTTTGGGTTCAAAATCATTAAAGAAATACGAAATTAGGGTAATTTTAGCTATTCATGCAAATAATACTAAACTGGTTGTTGTCATTTTGTTATCCTGCCACAAACCAGTTCCATTAAGTTAGTAAGAATTATCTTTAGAATTCTGGTTTTAAGTTAGTTAGTCATGATTGCCATTTGAGTTGGTTAACTGAAATCAAGAGACCTTCAGTCGGAAAACTGCTGATAACTATTGCTCGAATCTATTAAGTACAAGGTTTACAGTCAGGATAAGCGTCTTCCATCCAAACTTATGTCAATTAAAGTTTGATTACTTGTTTCATTTGTTTTAAAGGATATTTATATTTAAAATGTCACTTCAATATTCATTAAATAACGAGTGTGTCCAAGTGTCTGATACATTCACATTCACCAGGTTGACGTTCAGTTATTAACTAATACAGGTCAATAAATTGATTTCCGCAAATAGAGGCTGTTTCAAACTTTTCTTACATCTATTCCTCGAGAATATGACTTATTACTATAAAGGTGATTTTGATTCAAACATCATTCAGTTAATTAGCATAGTTCATCAGCTGTACGTCCATGCTGCCATATATGGAATGTCATATGAAATGAGTCATTTATTTAATCCAGCAATAGATAGATTACATTCTGTGGTGGTATAACGATTTTTGGTTAGCATTATCGAGAAACAATAATTGATTGGCATAAAAATACCTCACGATAAGTTCCAATAAGATAATGCACAAAACAGCATCAAGGAAAAACAAACTTTAAGTAATCGTTAAACCTATTCCTAATGGAGCGGGAATAAAAGTATGGGGTTGAACTCATTACAACAGAGTTGGTGGGATGCAAGTTACATGAATTATGGTTGTGTGGAGAAAAGTACAATTAGGTATTTACTGCCATTTGAAATAGTGCAAGGGTACATAAAAAGTGAATCAGATAATATATCAAGTTTCGTCACTTGAAACAATCCACTTCAGATTGCTACGAGTTTGGTCCAATCTATAATCCGTGAAGAGCTCTCTGAGGACAAATAGAACGTTAAAACCAAGAAACCCTATTATATGTTGATTAGTTGACAAATTTAGTCAATTTTTCATCTACTCTGTTGTAATCCATTATGTAGTTCAGATATGGATAGTAAATGTACAAGATAGAGATACAAAAACACTGGACGTTCAATAAACTTGACTTTTAATGAATTTATTTGGAAGAGATGAGAATGAATAAAATTGTGTACAGTTATCACTAAAATGTACAATATAATTAATATTTCACAAGTGGAATTTCGATAAAACGCAATCAGAATATATATTCGTATAATTACGTTAGCATTAAAATACAAACTGCTATAGATCCTCACCACGTTAACTAGATTACCTAGCAAAAAAATGAGACGTGTATCGTTCCTCTTGGACATTAAAATGGTTATCCGTTAGTTTTCCATTGTTTCTGTTTGAGTATTTTCACAAATAACTTCAGCAAAACAGGACTACACTAAGTGATATTTTTCTGTTTGCCTAAATCATATTTCCAATGGTAATATAGTGGATAAGGGATAAACAGAACTCAATAAAATATAGATAAATTACCATTGTATCGAAACTTAAGTACTATTCTGTTATCCCATTCCCTCCATTTAGGTTAAAAAATTAATTATTAATTTGATTATTATCAATGTTTTTATTACGTTGCCGATACTGATCTGGTTATCAGTAATCATATATACGAGTATAAAGGCTCTTTAATTCTTACTTATTTAAGAGATCAAACTAACCTTCAACCATAGAATACTGATTTGAGTGAAAAGAAATCAGAAATTCAATGTATCCATAGCTATTGACACTTGGAGACAGGTTTTAATGGTTTTTCACTCACAGTGACCACGCTACGTACAAGTAATGAGCTTAGTCACATTTAATAAAGCCTTAATGTACTAGTCATCATTTTACACAATAACAGTACTATAATAATCTAACTGCTAATCAATATTTCCTTTCCTCGTTGCAGCAATTATAAAATGATAAATGAAGTTAATAGATCAGATGGAATTTAATAAGTAACCTATTCAACTAACATCGAGAAATAATTTATTATATATTAAATTGAACATAATAAACAACCAATAAATACAAAAGAAAACAGATTAAATCTTCGAATATTTAGTAAAACAAAATTGAATTCATTCTTTTCACAAGCAAACATGTACACTATTTATTATGGTGATATGCAGATTAATATTTATATAGATATTTTTTTTTATTAAGTAATTCCATAAAGCCATACTAATTCAGAGGGATAGCAGAAGGATAAGTAGTAATAAAGTGTTTGATTTTATTAAGTAGGTTAATTTCTCCTTACATTTTATACTTATTTCATTTTTTTTTCTTTATCAGAATAAAATCACATTTAATATAATTTATTTTGTATGATCACATTTGGTAAGCGCTCTCATAAAGTCATCCAATGTTAATTTACCATCCCCATCACTGTCTATTGACTTGACGTAATTTCTTACAGATTTCTTACTGAATTTAGCGTCATGTCTCCTTAGAAATTTTCTTAATTGTTTACAAGTGATTCTACCACGTTGTTTCTTATCAATCATACAGAACATCTCTTTGACCTCCAATTCTCTAATAAAACAGAAATTAAAGGAAAATTATATTCATATTAAATTAATGTCAGTTGTTTTATATGAAATTCTGACGGTGGTTTTTACTACAGTTGTATCAGTGGATTATTAAAAATAATGAGCAAGTAGTAAACAGTTTCGTATCCATTTTTTTAACTTATTAATATTGAATGGTGATAACTCTTAGACAAGTTTCAGCAACTGCTAAGTCAAATCTGATATTTTTTGTATATCTCACATATATGTTAACTTGTGGTAGTGAATCTATCGGAGTAAAAAATAGCTTTTGAAGAGCGTTTTGTGATTAAATAATTATTGTTAATTCATAGTTTAAATTTTTGCTTAAAAGTTCATTTTAGCGACCAGAGTGCAGTAAAAGTAAGCAGTGAATATCTAAAGGTATACGTAATGCGATATTTTAAAACTCATCCATACTTTTATAGGTCTATTGAGTTTTCAGTATACCTGAGCGACGTCCTTACTATCTAAAAAATCTGACGTGCATTTTGTTGGTCAGTAAAGTCTGAGGAACCAGAAATGACATTACCAGCTTGGGTGAACATGAGGAGTCAATAGCGCCATGTACAAGACCTGTTATTTGGCTCAGAATGTGTTTGAAAAACAGACACTTTCAATGAATAGCTTCAAGAACCAAAGTAACAATGCGACAATGCTTCCGCATATTAACAGTCTATGAACAGGGTAAAATATTTATTAGGTAAACCATGTTGATAGCAGACATTTTAGTTTAATGTATTTTTCAAATGAGCAATAACTAGTCACAATAGATTAAGTATATGAACGTTGTCAATTGTGTAAAGGTTACATTTGCGGAAGTCACCATTCCATGATATGGAATAAATTTAAAATTATTTACGTTTTTAATAATGTTTTTTAAGTTCATAAGGATATCAATTTTTTGGTGTCAGGTGAAACAAAGTATTATAGGAAAGTAAAAATTAACCACTTACTCCATATTGAATATTCAATTAATCTATGTGGAAAAATAAATGGTACAATAAATATGAATACACAGCTAAAAGAAAACAAGAAACGATCACATTTGATAAGAATCAATTAAATAAATAGATCTTGACCACTTACTTATTTGATCAATTAACTGTGGATTTGAAACTTAGGGTATTACTGAAAGCAAACTTAAATGCATCTATTTATATAGACAGAAATGAATAATATGATTGGTCACCATACATTATTCTGAGTGGATAATAATTGTTATTATCATTAATTAATTATTGGTAATGGACTTAGAGACAAACTTGCAATAGCTTTTGCACGGTTAACCAAACCTAGAAATATATTCTGTTAATAGTTGGGAAAAAATAACTACTAAAAGAATAAACTCTGGTGAAACCCAGAGATAAAAGGGACTCTGATCGGGATTAAATTATCGACTAAAAGTATTGGTGTATTTAAATGGGATTGAAAATGCGGACTAAAACTCAAATAGTTTATTGTTAATTTAATTCATAGACTTAAACTATTTTTAAATTAGATTTACGGGTGAAACTATAGGTGTGATCAACCACAATTATGTGTTTACATTATTTTCAACTTAGGAATATCAATGAATTGTAATCAGAATTATTTATTGTTCATCCGTCATAAGCGTTTACAAATGTTGTTATACCTGCAAGATATCTTTTAGAAAGCTCCCGAAAAGTAATAATTTCATAATCGTAATCTCAATACACTTTTCTTGTATGATACTTATCGTTTGATTTGTTTGAACTAATGATTTTATTAATGGATAGTTTGAATAAAAAGTTCAGATTACTGTTTTTGTTTTCATAAACAATACTGTACATAATAATTATGGATTTTATGAATCCATGTATTACTCTTATTTCTCATTTTCTACATTCTGTTACCACGCTTATAAGAATTCTAGAGAAAGTAATTAGTTTAGTATGTAGAACTCATCTAACATAACAGACTACTACTGCTTATAATGATGATTCTGTGGTTTCATAGTTAGTTATGTAGATATTACTTATTTCATGAATCTAATAACAAGCAAGTTACTTTGTTTTCTGAATAGGTGAGATGTATTTGAAAGTTTAATCGATTTATGTTTCTTGCATTATATTTGATTGGATTTTATTTCGGAATTCATTAACATCATTTCTGATACTTTTTTTCATCAGATAATAACATAAATGAACATTAAACCAGGATTAACAGAAAACTTTTGTGATCTACAATGCATAAAACTATTACAAGTAAAGAGGTTGCTTCTACTTTATTATTTTATATTTTTCTTGAAATGCTGAACAACATGTTTTCAAAACTGTGAAATTTCTAAAAATTCTCCACAAAACCCATTCTGATAATAATAATCAACTGCTCACTAGTGACTGACTTCAGGAAAAACTCCTGAAGTTCTAGTGAGAAGCCGTTACCAGTGGAGTTCAACCGGTCTGTTGTGAGATAACAACTCACTGAAGACAATAGTGTACGGTGGCGCAACTTCGTGGATTGGTTGAAGTTAGACATTAACACCGTTGGATACCGGCTCAGTGGTCTAGTGGTTAAGTGCTCCCACGCGAAGCCAGTAGGTCCTGGGTTCGAGCCCCGCGTTGTGTGGGATCGTGGATGCGCACTGCTGAGGAGTCCCATACCAGGACGAAACGGCCGTCCAGTGCTTTCAGGTTTTCAATGGTGGTCTAGCCTCAACTGACTCATGATTTCAAAACTGTGAAAAACATTCTAGTAAAGTACAATTTACACTTAGGCAAAACTTTAGATCTTACAATATTGTTAAGTTTAAGAACAAGCTTTCTGATGATAGCCATAGACCTAATTCGTTTTATTATCAATTTAGATTTAATCGCTATCATTAATAAATATTACTAAAAGAAATCTGAATCATATATCATTCAGTTGAATATACTTCACTTTCACACTATTCAATTAATTCATTATTGACTACACATGACACAATCACTAGTACTCTATTTAGTATTACTAGGTATATATATATATATATATATATGTTTATAATCAACAATTTAGTATAATTCAAATTGTGTGTCTCAGATTGCAAAACTTTGTTTCATAAATTATTTACTTTCAATAAATGAAAAAAAAAAACAACTTTTACATTCCACATGTCAGTTGGTTTATGTGAACGTATTTGGCAAACTTAATAAAATCTTATTTATTGATTTTAATGCGTCTATTTTACTTCATTGTGAAACTAACAAGCATGTATAGAGTAACAAGTATAAAATACATAAAATACTTAAAGTGATTTTAATACTGAGTATAGTAAATAGTAATTATCGACACTTTGTTAATTTCCTTAGGTGATTTAATGTAGTAATATGCTCATTTAAAGTAGGAAACTCTCAGCTTTATTTACAAACTAGTTATTTTACTGGAAACATGTTTCCAAATAAGATTGTAGCAATGTAACATGTTGAATCATTCTGATGGACAATTAATAATTGTAGATATGAAACAACTTGACTTTCACAACTGATAAGTACTACATATTTTTGGTTAATCGGTATATAATGTATGAGATAAAGAAAGCGTCCTTCATTTTACTATCGTGTGTTCATTTATCCTCCAACCGAAAGGAAAATTCAAAACGGCTCTCAGTAGAATGACTACCTATTATCCGTTAGATCTGTTTCTTTCTATAACTGATATGCAAGTAGTGACATCATATAAATTTTGGTGTGAGATTACATCGACCTAGTGAATATATATATATATATATATATATATATATTTCTTCACCTCGTTTTGTAGCTCTCACCACTTTCTTAGTAGTCTTTCACAGCTGGAAATTCTACCAATAGGTAGGACCAGAATATGAAGAGTTATTCTAATGGTTTTCTCTATGTAAGTTTGTCCAGCGTTCGGAAACCACAATTTCATCTTCAGGATTCTAGGACATTAGGATTCAAGTATGTAAACTAGAGGGGAATACCGAAAACCGATAAACACCATTGATAATAGTAACAATATAGTAACCCATATGACTAAGCTTAGATACTCTGTCAAAGGAACAATGTTAAGTATCGTTTAGCACTTGACAATCAACAATGACAGTAAACAAATGAATTTAGGAAATCAGACAATCACTACTTCTTAGTTTACGTAATAAGGTGATATCTTAACCAAATTGATACCAGTAACAAAGACACAAACTGGGATGTTTAAGAAAATTTTTATTCTCAGTCTAGATAAGTTTTCAGTGGTAGAAAATCTTGAATGACATGTATGCTGAAAGATGTTTGTGATAATCGTTATTTCTCAGTGATTCAAAACCGACATGTCATCAGGTTGACTAAGAAGTAACTTCTTCTACTCTTTTAAAAATTTACACCCAAGATTTCGGCAAGGAATATTAAAACGTCATATGCACAAATGTAGAACATCTGGGATACAGCAAAAACAATCCTTTTTCTAATGAACGAGGAATACGTTTCAACGTGCAGAATGAAGTGCACATTCAAAATAACCTAGCAGACGATGTTTGCACTGGTAACTAATAAAAGTTCTGAAAGTTCCAGAAACTCAGTTTTCATTATATCAGTTCCACAGATTAGTGCTATCAGTTTATCAGAATAACTTGATCCTTGAGCTCCCATAGGAACATTAAATACAAGACAAACAGAATATTACAAGTTGTATGAATTGACTGAAACGATCAGCATAAAATGTATCCATTTTATTGCATGATATATCGATGCAACGACTCTCAGAAAATATATATTCTGAAACTAATTCCAGTCACTAATTAATGTAATCTGGAAAGCCAAGAAGTCCTTCATGTCTGTTTCACTGTACCATTGGACTTATAGGAATTATGTACCTACCACACCGTACAGAATAGAGCACACAACATGAAGTTTTGTGAACTAGAAAACAAAAGATGATCTCTATGTTTTATATATAATCCATTCAAATATCTTTGAACTCAATAGAACAATTTGTGTATAAAAACCAAATTGTGTCATGCACGTCATAAGGCAAGGTTTACCTTCCAAAAATGAAATATTATGAATTTAATGAGTTTTATTACATATGCATGCTGCGCGTGTACAACCATTGACCACACAGATATTTGTGTTAATGACAGCATTGTCAGCATAAAAGAACTGGTAAAAGATCAACTCAAGGAATAAAAACAATTTAAAAGGCTATACGTGTTTTATTTAACCACTTATTTCCTTGATTTATTTTACTATATGAGATTTAGTAAATGATGAAACTGAATTAGATGGTGGTTGGAGGTAGTCAACAGGAAACCCTAGACCCGGGTTTCGTGCTGCTTGGTACTCGTCAGCAAGGTGTACCTGTAGCACGAAACCCGGGTCCAGGGTTTCCTGTTGACTACCTCCAACCACCATCTAATCTCAACATAGTGCACTCAATGTCGAGTCACCTAGATTGGTGGCTACATTGCAACTCGATCAATATCGTTGAATCTGCACTAAGAAGGAATTGACATAAATGAAATTGATCACCACCAAGTGATCAATCAATTGTGATGAAACTGTAACCTTAGAGATCGAAACCGATGAAGCATAACCTTAGTACTAACCATAAAGTTTGGACTTATCAATTAGTCCACTTTTTCTATTTATTTGTAATACTTCGTTTCTTTAGCATACTTCCATTCAGTGTTGCATTGTGTTAAATAATTGTTAGATCGCCTCATTGCTATTTAATGTCATATGATATTTCCTAAGCCACTCGGAGAACATATTGAGAAAGTAAACAAGGTGTTCGTTATTCTATTGAGAACAAAATATAAGTTAATAAGTTTCTATTTTGTATTTGTCTAGATTTTCGAAGCCGTGTTCCAAGCAAATACCCTATCGGCTAATAGGTATGTAAGCACTACACTTCAACTAGTAAACCAATATATATATCCACTCATTTGTCTACTCAGTGAAACAACACAAACATTCAAATCGGTCTCCGTAAGTTTTAGTT